ATTGCATGCTTTTATACATACATACTTCTATTAGAACATTTTCTACTTATTTGTTGATTTTTTTAACTTGATATTCCTTCATAATTCTAATATTAGATTCAACAATAATTTATTTAGATTGTACTTATTTAATAGCTAAAATAATAATTTTACCACGTAATATAATAAAGTTTTCCATTTCTCACATAGAGTAAGGCGTACAAGGTCTTAGAACTCGAGTAATGAATTTCAAAACAAGAACACCAACATAATATTTCTGTTCGTTCTAATTATCGTGCCTGTTTATTTAGGATCGTCCCATCCCCTTTTCTGAAGTGATGGAACGTGTCGCGGAGAGTCATTCGGCTGTCGGATTTCGTAATAGTAACACGTATTGCGCCGTATTAGGTTCGTTTCATTAATAGTATCATTTAATTAATATTTGTGTGTTTAATGATTAATTGAGCATTAAGATAACGAAATCAAGTAAGATTTGAAGCTTTTCATGCTAATTTTTCTTCGATTATCGATTTCACTCTTACGGTTACTTCGCCTTGCATGTTTTTTTAATAGAATTTGAAGTTGATTATCGTTTCACTTTTACATATATGCCTTCATTGGGACATATTTGTTCTAACTTTTGGTTTCCATTTTCTGCAGGTTGGTCTCCTTGATTGCACAGATAGCATAGACGTCACGATCATTAATGGACAATTTGATGTATTTTGACGGAAGTTCGATGACATTTTATGAGTAACACTTGGTATGCAATTCATATATGTTTGAGATATAATTCACAGTACGTAATTTTGTGATTATTTGAAATATAAAGATGAAAATAGAAAAGATTAAATCAATTAATATTTTATTTGAATATATATCAGCTTATAGTATAGATATACTATTAAATAGTATAATATTATATATTAGATCACAATAGTATCTCTCGCACATCGCAATTTTAACACATTTAACACATATCTAACCTAACCTAAGCTAAATCATAACGATACCATACTGTACCATTCCGTACCATGCCGTACCATGATGCTACCAGCCGATATAATAAATATAGTATAACATGGTACTATATTATGTGTGTATATATATATATATATATAATATTATGTGTATATATATATAATATTATGTGTGTGTGTGTGTGTGTGTGTGTGTATATATACACACATAATATAGTACCAT